AAACTTCTCAAGCAAAATGCCTTTAAAATGCTCAAAGGCTCCCAAGAAGTTATACTCACTTCTACTGTAATCATTAGAGCTGTATGTAGTGCTTAAAATTCAGCACCAACCCCTCTATTCTGAGCCTAATGAACTTCTTGGCAACCTTGAGAGTTTTAATTTAGCAGGGTTCTGCTGAGTCACTTTTGTGACATTATTTTTATGAAATTTGGTATTGGGGTTGCCAGCAGTATTTTATAAAGTTATCTTAGAGATGTACATTCCAAATTTTGGTTAAGTTTGCTAAAAAATAATAATAATAAAATATTTTTACATTGCACTGAGCATGCCTCTTGTGTATTTTAAATGAGAGGGCAAGGTAATGAGATTAGATCTACCACAAAATTAGAACACTTTTAGGGTAAATAACTGTTAATTGTAGGCTCAAAGAGCAGTTTTAAACTCACTTGCACCTGAAGGAGAACTAAAGTTTATTTTCCTTTGGGCTATAGTTAGGCCTTGATTTGGCACTTAAAACTGCACTGATTCTGATAACTACATGCAATGGGCTAAATCAGCCACCCATTGTGACCGTTGGTGCCCCTTGTATTGATTCTAAATGGCCCAAAAATGGGGCCATTTTATAGAATACCAAGGANCAGGGACCGCGGAGCAAGGTGAAAAGTGGGAGGGCTGACAATTGAAAATATTTTTTTCATATTGAAAATCGAAAAAAGGAATAAAAGGAATAAAATCATAGTATTTGTATGTTTACTGGTCAAACTCAAACTCATCATTTTCACTGCAAGTAGTTGTCGTCTTGTCTGCGGAGCTTACAGACATTGACGAAGTCCCAGATAACTCTAATAAACGACCAACATACACGGTCAGTTCAGATTCAATGCAAGAAAAGACGGGATTACAATTTTAGTATAGAAAATACTACACTGACGTGATCTGAAAAATTTCTAACTATGGCCGTTCACTGTTAGTAATGTAATTCTTCTTGCCATCGAATATTTCATTGATTCGAAAGGAGAAAGAAAAAATATAAAACTTTTATCAACTCAAAACAACTACTCACCTTCGTTTGGCTTGAAAAAGCTAGTAATTTTCTTCATTTCGTCTGATAAAACTGGTAAAAAACTCTGCCGGAGCTGGAAGTACAAAACACGCTGCCGAACGAAGCGAAGGGGTGGCCAAGGCATGGCCGAGTTTAATCAAGGGGCAAGTCGGCCCAAAGGCACAATTACTGCGAAAAGCACAGGAGCCCCACAAAATGCCTGGCGTTTGAAATTAAAGAAAATACAGAGAATATAGCGGAATATAGACGGAAAAAAACTTGTTTCAAGTCCTTTTTTTTGAAATTTAATTATTTTTCCTTTAGCGCAAAAAGTGGGGGCGGGGGCGCAAAAAAGTGGTGGGGCCGCGGCCCTACCAGCCCCTCCCCCTCCGCGGTCCCTGTTGATTGTTCATTTTATGTAAATCATACTACTAGACTTGAATTGTACATGTTTATCACCTTTGGCTTTGAACAGTAGTAGGCGCCCCGAGAAAAATGTCTGCTGATCAACGCAGACTAAGCGTGTCTTCAATCAGGCGGTTCCCTGTAGACGTTCGTGAAGAACTAAACCGCCTTCTTCGCCGAAGTTCATGGCAAAGCCTAACTAGAGAGTTCAGCATTGATGTTCTGACTGGTCTCAAAGCTGAAGCACTCGACGACATCGCCGACTTCGTGAATAGCGACTACCCTGAGTTTCAAGAAGACGTAAGGAAAAGAGTAACGACTCTGAAAAGTACAATACGAGGTAAAACCCAAAGCTTCAAAGGCAAGAGTAAAGTGGGATTTCACAGCTACTTCTACAGGTATTTCTATATTTAGTCATTCTTTCTCACTCTTAGGGAGATCAAAGCTACGGCGCTGGCACATGGTTTGTTCTGTAAAAAAAAAAAACTCGCCCAAGAATTTTAGCGCTGGCTCTGTTTGGCGAAATGATTTTCAGCCTGAAATTATATGAGTCGGGACCGAAGGCTTGGAGGGAAGTTGGGGGCCCTTGACGAATTAGAATGACTAACCGATTCTCAAATCGTTTTTCTTTTTCCGTACTCTCCTTTTATGCCAAACAGTTCTTTTGCCTTTCCTGGTTCAGATCATGCGACGTTCTCAAAGGACTTTGAACTTTGTCATTTGTTAACGATGCGGAGTGTCACTACGAATAGACAGGCGTCGGAGTTGGTATTTTTTTTTTACGCTGGAGACTGGGAGAACTTACGAGCTGGTGAAAATAAAAAACTGTGAGCCACAAGCTTGAAGGAATCGGAGACTCGCGCTTCCATTCTCTTCTCATTTCACATGATTGCGTCGCTTTCGATCTAGTGAAAAACAGATCAAAAACGGAAGCGGAAGAATTAATAAACCAATAGCAAGGCAACAGTGCTCAATATCGCCTCTAGAGAAAACACACGAGGAGAAGTTTGATTTTATCTGCGACAACAGCTGTTACCCAGATATCACAGGATCACCCGTAATGATTTACACGAGGAAAAATAAGACGCAAACTGTACCGTATAAACGGCATATTTACACCTCTTAGCTTAGACGCGTCTTATCTAAGAACCGCCCTTAAGACCTGTTCCTATCTTGTAGGTTTTGGCTGGTAGGACAGCACAACGATGAGGGTCTGTACGACATTGTGTTTTGCCACATTTGCCGCAAGGAAGAGTTTGATTTCTTTCTCTGTCTTGACAAGGTCATCAAGGGTGGTGCCCACACGCTTGCGTCAGTTCCTCAGGCAATTAAAGCTATGATCGGTGCCATTCCTGCGCGAGTCATGCCCTTTCTAGAAAGGGGTGTCTTCCTGGAAGGGGAGGAAGAGAGACCTGAAGCAGCACCAGCACAAGAAGGAGCGGTAAGCCCTTATACCGACCTCACACAAGACCTGGGGGACCGTCTCACCGAATATGAGCTCGTGGAAGACCTCATTGAGAGAGGAACACTAGAAGAGAATGCAGATGGAACCCTGTCTATCCGGCTGCAGTAACTAAGTACCGAGAGAAGTTTAAAAGTGGAACATTTTCTAAAAACATTAACAGTGCACGGCTAAAATGTTAGAAAATTTTGGGCTCAATAACGTATAGAAGGTTATACCTCATTTTTTGAATTAAACTAAATTTTGGCCTACCAATCTTTTACACAGTGAGGGTCCCCAATAGGGTTCTTCAATCCTGTAATCCCGACTCAAAATTTCGTGCAATCCCGTGATCTCGATTGTTATTTTTGGCATCCCACCTCACGGGCATACATCCAATCCCGAGTCTCGCCCCGATTTTGCTTTCAAATCCCCAATCCGGAGCTTCCAATAAGGGAAATCTCGGGTCCCGAAAAACTTATTTGAGACCCTCTACAGTGAATTCAAGATAATCGTTTAACAGAAAGTAACATAATAATAATGATAATAATAATAAATATGAATGAAACAATGCGGGTGCCAGTGTGTTATTTCGAGTATTTCATTAATGAGGTATTACTACCACTATTACATGAAAGAGATGAAATTCTCGCGACACGATGGATGTTGTGGTCAATTGACTCAAGAACAATAATTCACGTACAAGAATGAACTGCTTGTGGACATCGTGAGAACTGCTTTGTTTTTCTTAATTTTGACTTTATTGTTCCTTTGATAAAGTCGTTTTATTTAATTCAAAGAAATGTTAAATAACATTGCCTTGAAATGTAAATTGTTGTACTCAAAAATGCGAATTTAATTTCGCAACAGTCGCGAAATTTAAGTGTCACGAAATATACGCACATCAAAATTTCATGTGATAAGGTAACCTTTGATATGGGTTACGATCAGATCCTGATGTTCGCTCAACGCTGTTTGAGTTTCAAAACAGTGTTCCAGTGTCAGTACACCATATGCTTGACTTCTGTGGAACACTGGGACTCCGTATGACGTCAATATCTCGTGATTTTATTTTAAACAACTTTTTCCCCCACGAATTATTCTTTTTCAGTTTCCCGCAAGAAAGAGGTGCTATTCCCTGATTGTTATTTGAGAAGCTGATGTAGCGTTTAGTCTAAAGGTTGAATTTTAATTTTTGAAGATTATCGCAAGTAAGCTTACATTGTGGCGTTTTCACGTAACTTGTTCTAACGAAGTTCTAGCGCTCGAAAGGCTTTTAACTATCCTATGGCAACTTCACTTAATTAATTTGGTTGATTATACCAAATTCATTGTTCTGCAACAAACAACAAAAAGCCTGATCTCTGTTCTAAAGGCGCTGAACAATTTTAATTGACCTTGAAGTCTTCAGATTATTTTTGTATTGCATCGAAAATTCCTTCCCGTTTTCACTTCCGACCTCAATTTCAGGGGATATATTTTTTTTTTTTACGCAATTTCGAGTATTCTTGGTTACTGGTAATTTACCAATAATCGTGTTACCCCTGTTAAGCCATTTTTATCATTGATATTATTATTATTACTTTCTTGTATTTCATTTTTATTTTCCTTTATTGTGTATTTCGGTACTGATTTGTTTATTACATAACTTGGAAATATAAATAATTGAAAAATCTTAAGACTGGTTTGTACGTGGGAAATAAGACAAAAATGGGTACTATTTGAATTGCATCTTAGGCCCATGCGCTATTACCTTGCTGAGCAGATGAACTGGCCCTGGGGTGTGGTCTTTGTTAGAAGAAAAGGGACGACACGAGTGTGTGCTCTGTAATAACACTGAGAAACTCAGCTGGTCACTGTAAATTCTCCCTCTTAAGACGTGACTACTCTAACTGGTTAGTTTATAATATGCCATATTACAATACCGTCCAGACAACATATGGTTACCAGAATTGGATTGCGCATGCGTGGTCCGTAATTATAGTACGACGCTAAACTGGCCCATTTACATTCTTCCTCTTCACACGTGACCACACTCTTTGGCTTGTTTCAAAGGTACGTTTAATAACCGACCAGACAACAGTCAGTGGTCAGTGAAGGGAGATGGGGGACTGCGTGTTGTGTGATAAATATCAGTAACACGTTCAAATGGCCCCTGTAAATTCTTCATCTAGCGACTTAACCACACTGAGCAGCTTGTTCATACTGAAAATGAAGATCAAAAATATGTTTTCATCTATAACTTTAATCCACAAAGGTTGCCCATACACGTAAACTGGTAAGCACTCTACTATAGTCACAGCTATTGTAGGCTGAAACCAGGCTCCTCTGCGAGGAAAAATCAATCACTGAAACCGCAAGTTTAAAAGCGGTCAGTGTGGTAGCTTCAAGACCTTCAAAGTTCTAGATACAAAACTGTACAAGTAGACGTTGCGAGACGCTGATGGATGAACAAATGTGTTAGAATGGCACTGCCTTGTGACTTTACACGAGCTGGCATAGGAATGGCTGGCCACATAACAATCAAGAACTCATTTTATACGCAGTTAGGACAAATTTAACAATTTCGGTGCAACTTCTTCGTCTTCTGCGACCGGCTTTTTACACCAGGTTTCCCGGTATGCAAACTATTTACACAAACCACCCGGGTGGAATTCTCTTGCATAAACACAAAACTATAAAATTTGACGTAGTGGGAGAACGATCCGCTACAAAGTAAACCCGCTGAAAAGACTAAAAAGAAGGGGAAAATTGAAGCGCCTGAAATTACAGCCCATACTTTCTGAACACTACTGCTTTTTGAAGCTTCCCAAATGAAATGGTGCAAACCAACTGTATGATTTTCCAGCCGGAATTTCCGGATTTTCCATATCAGCGATAAATACCCCTGGTTAATACCGCCCTTACTTTTGCGACATTGCTTAACGTACTTTCCCTGATTAAAAAAAAAAAGTATCTTAAATCTCTGCCAAAGGAGGAGAGGAAGGGGGGACGAGGCTTATTTAAAGAAGGGGGCACTTCATCAAAATAAAGAAGATATTGTAGGGTAGTTGATCCTGTGATGTGTTAGGTATGTAAAAAGTTCGCGGTAAACGCCAAAAATGCAATAGACAATGGCCAAAAACGAAAATTGCAGGCACACACATGGCTATAGTGAAAACTGCAACGAATGTAGCGGGGAAACAAACTGTTCTTCTATATCGAAGCCACCGTAAATAAAGCTTACGAAACAATGGGAAAAAAAGGAATAAACGTTTACTGTGATATCGTTAATGTTGAGGAACAGAAAAGACGCTTATTCAAGAAAATGAGGTACTTTTTTGGAATGAAAGTAGTCTAAAATGTCATAGTTAGGGGGTGGAGGCGTACGACACTTCAGACTACAATGAAAGGAAAGTAAGATTTTCGTACCTTTTAAACTCCTCCTTTATCTCTTCCACTTTTGATGGATGACAACAGATGGCAACAGAGGACTGAGTCGGGTCAAACAGAGGAGCAACATACGTCCGTCCTACCCTGATCAGGTCAGCAAGGGTCACCTGGGAGACTTTAGCTAGCAAGGATCTAGAAGACAACGATAAAACAGGGTTCGTACTCTTTTGAGGTCCTCGAATTCTTGACTTTCCATGAATATTTCCATGACTTTTTCAAGTTTTCCAAGACCTTATGTTTAGTAGGCCCGATTTCTGCCGCTCTCTGCGACAAGCGTCCCCTCTCTATTTTATCTTTCGCGCTTTTTTTGCCCCCCTCTCTTTCTCGTCTGACGCGTCTGACAAAGGCTTGCTTGTATATGGAGGAGAAACGGGGATGAAAGACAGTACACGTACCTGTTATAGTTGGGGGCTACACCTCTAAACTGTGACAGCAAACTCTGAAACGAAAAAACGTTTCATATAAGTAAGCTAAGAGTTAAAGGAATGGCAAATTCGCAAACAGTATTTCTTATTTCGGCCGTTTACGCGTGGCCTTTCATACATTGCCTCTATTTCATTTACGAGCGTAAAATTTTCGGGCGTACCCCCGTAAAAATTACGCGACAGTGGAAATCCACCTTAACACAATGAAACGCCTTATGTTGCATTGCGAAGTGTAGTACACATAAGGGGTACAACGAGTTACCTAACAACGACCGATAAAACACTTCGCTGTGCAAAAAAAAAGTAAGGCTCAAAACACATCGCGGAGGTACTCACTGCCTATTTTGTGTGTGTGTGTAACGCCCCATGAAAAACAACCGCTTCTCTTGTTTCATTTTCGAGAATCAGAAAAATAGTCAATGTAAAACTTCTAATCAGAGAAGAGTGGATTATAAAACCGCACTGTCGACCACAGGCGGCCCAAGCTCAGTATGAGAGTTTTATCATTAATACAAGTGGCTTCATATTGCGTAATCCCTAAAATGGATTTGTGTGGGAATTCAGGTAAAAGGTTCAAGAAGATAGATACTCGCTAGAATTTTCAGCAGTAATTTTACATGGTAAACCTTGTGTAAGCTTAACTTTGGCCACCTTTGCCAGTGAAAGGTCTAAAGATAGGGAAAAACCAGACTAATCTGAATCACCTCGGAGGCCGCTGACGAAACGCTCTTCTCTCGTTCGATGATCTCAAATATCACACTGCTGATGGCAGATTCCAGTTCACCAGCGTCAAACGACATTGCACCAGACAAATATCCATCCTGGTAACAACACGACAAGTAATATTATAACAACATTGGTCTGAAACAGGGTCAAGATTTTGAGAACCGGGCGGCATACCACTACTAAGAATTCCCAGGAGTCATTGACTGGAATGCCAAACCCGTAGGGGGAGGGAGTGGGGTTGGGTAAGGAGACTTATGACATTTCAGACTAATGAAAAGTACGCGTCGGAAACATCTAGAAACCTGCTTTAACCTTGCGTAGTGTTTCATTCGATCGTCGATCTTTTACTGAAAACCTGTTCTTGAGTATTCTTTTACTTATCCTGTAATACTGATTATTTTATATGTTGGTTAAAAACAGCATGGATCACGTGTCTGTATTTCTGTATCGGATGTACTCTTTTGTTGAGTAGATGGGGACATAAGTGGGGGGAAAGGCTTAAAAGTGGGTGAACTTACAAGCGGCAGTTTACAGTATTCTACGTAAACAATTCTCATGGCCATGGTTATTTGCCCTGTTATTATTGAGGTGGTGGATCCAGGGGAGGGGCCCGGGGGAGGGGGGGGGGTTATTTTCAGACCGTACTGATGCCCGACGGGCCGAAAAAAAACTTTGGAGACTGGCCCTCCCCCTCATCTCAGGGTCTGGATGACCGACCCCCCTATCTCAAGCTCTGGATCCGGCACTGTATTGACCACTCCAGAAAGTACCATAACATACCATGAGCATTGTCTTTAGTTTCTCTTGGCCCCAAGAAAAACTGAAAACAATGCTTATACAAAATTTTGGAGTGACCAACAAAGAGTATTATGGTATGTTATGGTATTTTCTGGAATAGTCAGTTGTACTCACAACAATCTCCTGAGTTTTCTTGTAAGCCTTCACCGGGTGAGTTGACTTGGTAAGAACAAGATAAAGAAGTCCCCACTCTAAATTTACGCGCATTCTACAAAAGGACAAAAGGAAATTCCTCAGAAAGATTAAACAGACACCCGTTAACGAGAGCGTCCGCTTAACACAGGTTATAACACAGTCAGCCCAAGCTCAGTATGAGAGTTTATCTTTAATACGTGTGGTCTCCCACTGCGTGATCCTCAAAGTGGCCGTGAACATAAAGAAATTGTATTGGAATTCAGGTAAAAGATTCAAGGAGATAAACACTCGCTGGGATTTTCAATGAAGTGCACTCTACTTTATTTACTTGGTTTGTTCTTGCTTGCTGTGTGGTTATTTTCCCGATCCGATGCGATTTAAGCGTCGTTAAGTGATTTCTTTTACCCCCCGAGTTTTTACTTCTAGGAATTCGTTTTTCGGCGGTAAAAGAAATCGCTTATCGACGCTTAAATCGCAGCGGATCGGGAAAAAACCACACAGCAAGCAAGAACAAACAAAGTAAATAAGATAGAGTATATTGAAAATCTCAGCGAGTATTTATCTCCTTGAATCATAGTTTTACCAGAATTCCTATACAAATCCTTTATGTTCACGGCCATTTTGAGGATCAAGCAATATGAGACCAAAAGTATTAAAAATTAAACTCTCATACGGAGCTTGAGCTGCCTGTAATTTAACCGTAAAAACGTCAGCATTGATCAGCTAGAAAATCAAAGGTAAAGAGCCTTCCAGCTAAACAAACGACTGGGAATACATACGCATAGCCATATGACAAACCGAGACCTCGAACCTGACGCCATATTGGACCCTGCAGAAAAATTAAAATTGATCACTTACGAGAAAAGAAAACATGTTTCCCTGACATACTTATTCCCTCATGTTAACTCATTTTACAGAATGAATGTAGAATACTACTGCCCTTATACTAGTACACCAAGTACGTTGAAATCATCGCGCTAAAACGCTTGTCAATTGCAGGGGCGTAGCCAGGATTTTTCAAAGGGGGGGATGGTTTATACCGCTGCTCTCCCTAGTGTATCAGCGGGCTCAGTCGTATTATCGCGGCATGAAGGCCCATATTACCTAAAGACAAGAGCCGTTGACGAAAACACTTTACAAAAAAACAAATTTTAAAAAAGTGGGCTTTTCAACAATGGCTTTTAAGGCCAAGATATTGTCATGGCGTTTTCGCCACCTGAATATTGTAGGTTGTTTGCTCAAGTGAAGGCCTACCAAGGGGGGGGGGGGGGCCCGGGGCCCCCCGGACCCCCCCAAACACCCCCCTGAATTTGTGTTTAAAACACGGGAAAAAGGCTTGGGTTTTCCCCTCCCCCCCTTCCCACCCCTTCCTCTTTTCTTTTCCCTGTTTTTTTCCTTTCCTTTGCGGGGGGGGGGGGGGGGGGGGGTCACGGGCACCCCAGGACCCCCCTAACTACGCCCCTGAATTGCTGTTGAAACACTGGACAAAAGCTGTGGATTTTCGCGTCACACCTTCTCAACCCGTACTTCTATCATTTACCTGGTTTTTCTCCTGTCCTTGCGCGATGTTCCGTCCACATGTCATTGGAAAAGAGGTAACGTAAGAGGGAAGAGAAACTTACCTCAAGTGTGGTTAGACATTCTAGAAAGACCATCAAAGGCCCAAGGTCTGGGTGATCAAAGCGGTCAAAACATTGTGTAACTTGAAAGAGGAATGAAGACTCCACTGAACCAATTCCTGCTATTTTCCCATGCACAGGGTTCTTGGCCAGAAACGCACTGGATTTTCGCACGGGAGAGATGCTGTATTAACAAAAACATGTACTCTGGTATTTAAAGCGAATACAGTTAAAGTCATGACAGCAGTCGGCCAGAGGATAAAAAGAACATAAAATGGGAGGTTAATAAAATGTGATTTGGGTTGGTCGGTTCTCTCATAACAAAACAACTAATAAAAAAAAAACAAATGAAATCTTGTTATCAGCTTTTCTGCCAAAGGATTAAGAATCCAACTGAAAACTTTTACCAGAATGTGATCAAAGTACTGCTAAACTAGTTTCATTTGAATGGTCACGTTTCAGGTTTTTTAGTTCGAGAGACTTCTCGGATAAATCTTATTTACCGGATGTGCGTAAGAGGCGTAACAGCCAGTTCAAGGTTCCGAGATAGTTGGGTCTACGAAGCTGACATATTTCCGCGTGCCTATGACCTACGCGTTATCCCTACTATCTGACAGCCTGAAATAAGCTAGAGGCGGAAGAATTTGAAAATTAAAACAGTGGAGCATAGTTAATTGAGTGGAATGGTTATGAAACCCGTCAGACTCCTTTGTTATATGTTTTTGTGGACCTGAAAGTGCACAACGTTTAAAAGAATTCCTATCATTTTGATTGTATTGACCAATAAAAACGTTGCATTCATTTATTCCGTAACAATTTGCCAACAGAAAACAAAGGATTGTGCACTTTCAGGGTGCTTCCAACATAAACTGCAGCACTGTTAATTTTATCATTGATGTTTGCCGCTTTTCATAACCAGTCTCCTCTAATAACTATGAGTGGAGCCAGTGACAAAATTTACATGGCTGGATATACTGATGTGCTTAAATTCATACCTTGTTGGTATTGGGACTGAAGCATCAGCCAGTAATTTGGTTTTCCAGAGCATATTTGGATTGTCAGGTAATCTATTCACATCCGCCGCCACGTGAACTCTCAAGTTTGACGGCTGGGTCAGGAGAGAACGCAGCTTCTCGACTCTCTCAATGACCTGAAATTAAATTACAGCCCACGCTGGTATAAATTGAGAGAAAAAGTATAGACCTTTAATTTTACTGACCAATCAGCAATATGAAGTATTTCACGCAAAATGGCTTGCCAAGAAGCTCTACATTCATGTACGAGAGGCCAGGACATTAGACTACGAGTAGTCCCCATTTTCCCTCAGGGATAGTAGAACGAGCGAAACGCGAGCGCGCGCGAAAATCACCCTACGCGAGAAAAAGCGAGACGCGGTGGGGAGACTTTCACGCGCGCTCCCGCTTCGCTCGCTCTACTATCCCTGAGGGAAAATGGGGACTACACGTAGTGGCTGGGGAGCTTCCTCTCCTTCCATTATTTCCCCGCCCTCCCCCGTCAAAACCTTGCTCGCAAACAAAAGCCTCATTACACTAGCCTGTGCGAAGTAGTTGTTTGAAAAGGTTGGGGGGAGGGAAGAAGCGCTCGAGAAAGCGAGGGCGCGTTTCTCGCCGATCATTCACATAACATCGCACCTAACGCTATGTTCACACTGAACCGGAGAGCTCTTGCGCCGCCATGAAAACTGTACTGGATAGGGCTTCTGTTTACATGATGATTTCGGCACGATTTCTGTCTAATCAAATCTGCATTTCTACACAGGGCGGCTACCTATTTCTGATATGAGATCTCGACTAAGCGATTATCTGTTTAGACGTTTGTTAGCAGTTCCCAGGCTCCGTCGCGTAGCACCCGATCAGAAGCGAAAAGACTCCTCTGCATTGGGCAGGAACGCGTGACGAACCCCTAAGAACTTCTGCGTGGGAGGCTAGCGCTGGAGAACCCGAAGAGAAAGACTACTCGAAAGTCACGGTCACCAGAAAAGGGCAAAGAAAACAAACCTGAGTGGGATCAGCTTCCAGTTCAGTCATAACTTTGTTTAAGAAACTGTACTGGCGCACCATATTGGCTGAAAACATATTGCTTTCTAAAAAACACACAAAACAAGGACGGTAAGTTACATTCGAAGAAGACATTGGTTTCAAAAGAATTTATAAGTCAATTTTCCGCCCTTTGAATGAGGCACGAGGGACAGTGACACGACAGTAAACGCTAATCCGGGCCACTTCTCACCTCTAGTAAAAGCAATGTCTCTAATGAGAACCTTGGTCACAGTTCTGCCATCTCGCTTCATTCTGTTCAAGATTATCGTAAAACAAAGCACAGAGAAACATCATTCAGTGCAACATTGATCATCCTAGCGAAACACGTAAATTCAGCCAGTAGTACACAAAGAGAGAACGAAAATGGGCTGCCCGTGATAATCACCATTAGTATTAATATTATTTTGCCAAATCAGTTGACAGTAATTTTTGCGCGTTTTGATTGGCTTCCGTAACCAGGAATATCATTGGCTATATTTACTGTTTTGGGAAGGTAATCAAAATGTCGTCCCAATTAAGACAGTTTCGGTTGCACCAACAAATACCAAGGAAGTAACCCAATTTGGCTCGTCGGTGTTTACTGATACAAAGAAAATAATTTTCTAACTGAATTTGCGATAAAATCGTGAAATACATACGACAAATCCCCGAAACACTGTCAATAAAAACGTAAACAAAGCTCTTACTAAGTGACGCTTTTTATTTACCAAAACTACTTGATCAATTTCATCCAACTTATTGGTAAAAAAAAAACATCAAAAACAAAAACAAGAAACAACTATTCTTCTCAGGGTCGGTGCATAGTGCTAGATATATAACTCAATGGTTCGCGTCTCGGTATATCTATCACTATTTACCTCCCCTTCGGGAGATAATTGTACACCATCATTGCTGTCATCAGAAGACAATTGAGTATCAACTTGGGTAAAAAAATTTTAAAGAGAAATCATATTTGACCTGTAAAATCATCATTAACCTCAACGATAATAGTATTAGTCATTGCTATCATAATTGTCTTGTGAGTCATCAAAATCATCATCATCATCATTATTATCATCACCATCATAAAACATCATCATCATCATCACCCCGCTTTAAAGCCTGTATCCACTATGACTAGCCTCACCTGGCAACGTCATTCATCATCTTTTTGCCCACAATTTCCAGCCGCTCTTTAGTAAACTGAGTCTTGTAAAGCAGGTCGTGAAGCCAGTTGACTCCCTTCTCATACTTCTCAACTTCAAGCTATGGGTTGCGGGCAGAGCACGTGTTAATCACATGAATTACAGGGGAAGGAGGAGAGAGGGGCAATAACGCTTACTTGCGTTATCCACTAGGCCGCTGTATCGAGATATCAGAACTTACAACTTGCTAATTATAAATGATTACAGAGATAAACAATTAAGACATAGGGCCAAATCCAAAATTCATACGGCTGCAGTCTCAAAATAGGCGGAAAATTTAACCCCGCCCCCCTTCGGTTCTCCTATTCAAGGATAGGGAGCTTTAGCACCGACGACGGCGACAGGAGCGGAAACGTCACTTTAAAAATGAATTCGCGTTTTTCAAACTTTTCCGCGTTTATTCCAGTGCGCCTGAAATGTCAAAAGTGGGCGAATTTCCCTGGAGTTGATTTCTTGGGACCGCACTGAAGTTTGGAAAGAGAAAAAAAAATTCGTCGTTGCTAATTACGTCCTCCATAAAACGTGAAATTATGCATTTTCACGTCGTAGTCGTGGAGAGACGGCAGAGAAATGTACAAGAAAAGCGTGATGCACGTGCAAATTTGTTGTTTTGCTTAATAAGCCTCTTGCTGTTTTGACGTTCTCGTTGTCGTCGCCGTCGTCGTTGCTAAAGCTCCCTACTGAGTTTAATCAACAGGACGGCAGAAAGAAGAGGACGCCAAAACGCCTGTGGGTAACAAACGTGACAGGGCTGTTAGTTGCGTGTTTTGTCATGATCTTCACTTACATAAATGTTTTCTGGTCTTTTACAGCAAGATCTATTTAAAGGAGGGTGAAGTTTGGCGGAAAGTTTTTTCAAACCAAATTATTGTCACGCTTGTCACACAAGGTTTGCCGTCTTCTTTCCTCCCCCGTCCTGTTGCGTAAACTCACTATTGATTTTGGGGGGAAGGGGGCTTTGCTGTTCTATTGTATCCTGTCTAAAAATGTAATTTTGTACAAAATAGTCCAGGAAACGTTATTCGAATTAATTTTCATGGCTGAATAAGATAGCTGAAAATAAAGGAGTTATTCAGTGCGGATATGAAGTCCCACCTTAAGTGACACACAAGCCAGTTGTGAAAACTCGTCAGGCATGAACCTTCTTCCTTCCAGTCCTAAGCAAGACTCTTGACTAAGAGTGTCGGCAGCCAGCTCTGCTACGACTTGCTCAAACGGAACAAGACCTGAGGTGAAACATCACTTCATAATTAAACTGATATTTATGGTTACGGACTCTTAAGAGTAAGGTTAAGAGGCTGTTTATGTAGAGAGGGGAAGATCCTAGTTCCAGAATGATCCTAGAAGGCGGAATAAATTTCCGTTGGGTTTACAGGCAGAGATTTCGGTCCATGTGGTGCCAAAGTAGAGAAGGTTAGAGAAGGAATAAAAATGGCGGGCGACAAAAAGAAAACTGCAATTTGGGCTCTTCTGCAGTACCTTTCAGCAGAATTATCCCAATAATGAGCTCTTCGCAACGCCAAACGAAATGATCGGCTTTTATTGCCGTGATTAGCCACTGAAGATCCGCCGCCATTTTTGTTTGGTTTCTCCGTAATACTAGGATGCTCCTAGCGAAGGCAGCTTACATGAAGCTAGGATCTTCCTAGCCGAAAGTTTTGAAGATCCTAGCGCTAGACACAAGTACAACCCTTTGCATGTAAACAGACTACAGAAAACATACGGCGCTGGGATGATCCACCTTCTGGGATCTTCTTGCTGCTAGGATCTTCCTGCCTCCATGCAAACATCCCCTAACATAAGGCTCAATATAATTTAGGCGAGGTTAAACACAAGACGATGCTGGCCAGCGGTCCCTATCACGAATCGTATATGGCGCGGGCTTTGGGCATGTGCAGAGCACTGCGTGACTCCGGCCAGAGCGGATGCGAAGGAGACTAGTTAGTATAAATAGTGTCCGTGTATTGTTGCCTCAGGGCAAAAAGCTTTGCTCCACTTTGTCTCTCTCCACTTAAGTGTAAAAAAGAGGTTCCGCCAACACACTGCTTGGGGTACCCCTGTGATAAACTAGTATCCATCCAGGGGAAGAAGCAATGGTCTTGGAATGCAATTTATGCCAAGACACGTTTTCGATTAAGCCCCTGCGGAATAGGCCTAGTTTTCTGTATAGCGTGCCAGTTCTCTACTTATATTTGGCTGCGAACTGTATGATGACAAAACAAAGGTTACAGACAGCATGCAAGCGAATGAAGGAGCCAAATTGTGCTAAGAGAGAGATAATTTCGCATACCATTTTCTCTCAATACCGGAGACTCAAACAAAACTTCCAGGTAGAGGCTAAGGTAGGGCTTGAGCTCCTCTGGTATGCTTGCTGTATCCATCAAAACACTAAGCTGAAAACGAACAAAAACAAAGAGGAAGATTTACTTCTCGAAGCGCTTTTCGAAGGACTGCACTTGCTCCAAAAAGTAATACGATCAATGAAAAAGTTTAACTACAGTAGCGATTATATGAAACCAAGGGTTCTCCCTCGATGAAACAACACTTGGGCGATTGTTGGAACAACGATCTCTGGGATAGACCTCAGTTCTATCTAAAGGATCATTTCCGTAGAGACTACGAACAGTCCCGCGGATGGTCGTGCGGGCGATTAAATCAAGCGAGCGACCCGTCGGCTCTCTCGAGTCTAAATAAGCATCCAATCAACTGACTGAAAAAAATAGGCTTCTCAAAGTATACTTTTCATACAATTGCCGCGATCTCTCCATATTTTGGAGGGTGCGGGACGAGGGTTTCTTCTCGGGCAGCTGCCCTCGCTTCACGCGTAACGTGACCTCGGCGCTCGTACTAATCACTAACACTAAGAGACTTCTCCCAGTCTATTAAGTGATGTGTGGCCGTGAGTGAGTCAAATTAACCCGCAGAACAAGCGTTATTTTTATCGCGTTTTTCAGGCAAGCGAAGGCAAACGCGAAGCGAAAGAGGAACGCGAGACACGCGCGACGGGGGAGGGAGCCGAAAAAGTAACGCCTATCCACACACCCTGTTCGTGCTCTTTCCCGTTTATGTTTTGAACGTAGCTGTCCAATTGGCTAATTGATATCACGTGATCATGAGCTGTTTATGGATGAGACTGTGCTTGCATTGATCTCGGCTGTGGATGCTGCGTCCCAAATTGCTGCTCTTGGGTACAAAAGAATGTAAAAGCTAAGCCGCTTTAAGCGATTTTCCTTCCTTCGCTTTTAGAGCGGTTTTCATTTGAGTGTCGAAAAGTAATTGGTTTTGCACTTTCTACACGATGCGATTGGCTTAAAAGATTCGCGCCACCTTTTCATCCAATCAGAAGTAAAACCAAAACCAATTGTGACGCGCTCGCATGCATTTTCCCGCGCTTTGCGTCGGCCACATGTAATTACTTCGAGTTTTGATTGGTTCAATGTATTGTCTGTGTCCTATGTGATTGGCCAGAGTAATTACTTTGGTTTTGGTTTTACGACACTCAAACGAAAACCACTCTAATAAGCGCGATAATCCTTGGATGGTACTTACTTTGACAAACAGCGTCGACACGTGATCAAGTTGGAATGCATAAGGAATCTCGCTTACAGGGAACTTGACTGCCTCGGGTTCAGAATGACTACAGCCATCTTGTCTCCTGTTGCTGAACATCTTGATTGGATGAAAACTGATGCTGGAGGTTGATGGCACGGGGAGACTGGTGACTACTTCTGGAGGAGGAGCGACCTGAAAGGTCAAGGTTATCAATGATAGTTAAGACCAAACATGAAAAATAAATGTAAAACCTTACAAAAAACCATCACTGTTTTCTATTACTTGACATAGGCAAGTACTTAAAGGAGCTGTGCCACGAAATTTATCAAAATTCAAACAAAGGCAACTGCCACCAGACTGAGTAAAACATAAAAATATCAGCTAAAAACCTGAAAAGAAGGTATAAATAACACAGCAGATACAAAAAGAGGCCACCAAAGGCAATCTCGTCCCCAGAGCCTTTTGTCCAGCGGATGATCTCCGTCGCTGTACAAAAGGATCGCGGCCTCTGGGAACGAGATTGTGCCAAAGGAGGCAAGGATGGACAAACTTGAAGAGCAAGACAGCCGAGACACAGCTCCTTAAAGCGTCACACTTAAATGGGGAAGCGTTAGGCAGGTATGTGGTGAGGACCGATTGCAGCCTTAGTTTTCCTCGTGTGACATACCCGGTATCAGTTGCCAATGGTGAAGAACCTGAGCTCTCTTCAAATGAAAGGTCTGGGGCGAGGGTGAAAAGAGAGAGTGAAACTGGGGAGAGCTCACATGTGGCTGTGGCTCATGACTGGTTCGCTCCATTTGGGAAAGTCACGCGAGAGCCCCTCGCGAAAGGAGATTGGAGAGCTTGCTCGCAGGCTACTGTTTCGCAAGCGAGAATTCATGATTCGGCACTTCATGCCAAAAGGGAAAGGGACAGTCTGCTTTGTAGTCGATTGTGGCGAATAGATTTTGGTGCAACAAGTGCGCTCATACGCAGTCGTTGGGAAAGACTTTACGTCAAGCGACGTCCACAGAAACATATTGTAGGACGACGAAGCCTGAAAAAGAATAACTAAAAAACATTTCAACAGAACTACAGTGTACCTCATTGTCGTCCGTTGCTTTCTCCAGTCGCTGTCTCTTGCTTTTCAATCCTTCTTCACCAAGCGTTGCTATTTGCTCTGCAACTCTCTTTTTCTCAGTCTCTGACATCTCCGTCATCATCTTAGAACTGGGTTCTCCAATTATCTGCAATATACAGGGGGAGCCCGCTTTACGAACACCCGCTCAACACGGACACCCATACGGACGAAGGACATTTCCCGCATCTCAAGTCGTAAACTCGTAGATATTGTCAACCGTGCTTTACGGACACTGTCTATCTACCGCACTGTCTATGACTGAATATCTTACCAGTGAAACCCTTACAGAAACTGTAGAGAAACTCTCAAAGGTCCTGTCTAATGTTCAGTCTACCTGGCTGAGTGCAAACTAAAAAAATCAGTACAAAGTCACAAATTCCATTGTCGTGTTTCAAGAACAGTACTTAAAACTAGAGGTAATTTTAGTCCGAGACAATGGTAAATGATATTGAGGTTTCTCTAGGATGAACTTGTTAAAGTTTCAGACTTCAGTTCAGAAAATAAGCAAGGTTTTCTCGTAACACTGTCTGCTTTAGTCTTTTTATCTAACAAATACGTGTTCGTGACCTTTTTTCTGAGACCCAGTTTTTTTTCTGACACTCGGATAATACGGATACTATGGCAAGTCTCCTCGCTGTCCGTATTAATCGGGTTCCACTGTGCAAATGAGCGTTGCGTGACATCCAAAAAACGGCTGCGAAGGAGACTAACAGATAGTAGGGACGTCACGAAAACAAGACCTTCTCTCGGCTCCTCAGTCCCCGCACGTTCTTCTTATCAGCTGCTATGATCTCTGCACATTGCTATTTTGGAGCCTGGAACAGCCTAAGCTACAACCCCGAACAAAATAGTTGGAACACCCTTGGTCGATTTTCCCCGCTTCCCCTCTTCACAAAGTTCAAAATCGCTCAAACTTTCCCACACTGCGCTTTTTAACAACACTGCACGGGGGCGAGGGGCTGCACTGAGCATGCCCAAAAAATAGGAAGTGTTCCAAGTTTTTTTGACCGGGGTTGTAGGTAATAAATAGGTGCATTTTTGCAATTCTATGCATGTACTTACCACAACACTAGAAGATGATTTACTAAAGTAATTCTTCAAAACTGCTACCCAATAGTCCACTGTCTCTTTTTGAAGCTTTTCCAAGTCCTGAATTATCCCAAGTCTCGAATGAAGATCTTCGGCTTTAGTGGAATACAAAAAGTCACCGACTATAGCATCTGCAAAGGTGTCATGAGGGTGATTCTCAAAATTGTTCTTTGTGTCCAGAATTTTGCGATGAATGACCACACCCATGCGACTCGTGTCAATCACTTCTTTTCCCTCTGCAAGATTTCCCAAAACTTCCTTGATCTTTTCTTTAGTGGCATTTAGCTTTCCAAATGGCACATTTTTTGCCTTTATCACCAAACAGCTTTCCAAGTACTCCAAAATATCACAGGAAATGTCGCTGCAAAAAGGATCTGGAATTTCTACAAGATCACGCTGTAGTGGAGCTATTGGGGTATCAGTGAGATAGTCTAGTATGACAGACAGAGCAGTCATACCATAACGATCACTACAGATTGGCCCTCGGAATCCTAAGAGAACAGAACCTGATTCTTCATCTTCCGTTGGGAACCTGACAACCTTTTCTACAGCATCACTAAGAGGTGGGACAGGAGTTTGCCATGGTCTCTTGTAAGGAGGCAATGTTTTCTAAAAGGAGGGACGACAAAATTTATATTTCACAGACAAAACATTCCTGCCCTCTCGGGCACACAAACTAGATTTACAAAATTCCTGCATGGTGTTTGATGCAACAAGAATAATGAAAACTTCCAACAAAAAACATATACATGTAATTATGTTGGGCTTTCTGTGAAGAAAAACACAGGACACCAAGTTTCATCAGCTTTTGCTGAGGAGGTACACATGTACATGTATCTCAACGTGTAATTCCACCTGTAATTAACCAGGTTCGAAATGAGTGAAAAACTGGGTATTTTGCAACCAAAAAGCTTCCTGGGTTTGTTTGGAGGGACAGCATGACGCATGACGAATGCTGTGTTCCTTTACTACAATAACAGTTTCAGAATGTAACTAATCTTATGCACCAGTCATGTCTTCTTCAGTCTGAACGACTTTGAGAACATCTGTAGCTTGCTGGTGTTGTACCATTTCTTCGCTCGTTTAGAATATTGCCAATAATATTTTTTTTTAGCTTCATTAGAGGTGACCAATAACAATAAATCCAATCAAATGGACAACTGTTATGAACGTGATTTATTATTACAACCTTGAACGAAAAGTGCATGTTCTTATCAACAGTAAGTACCACAATGACCCCTTCCCCACTCCACCCTGTTCAATGTTGTTCAGTCAAGGGTACTGTTTTATTTTGCGGGGGGCGGAGAATTATTTGTTATCTTATTACATTAAAGGACTTCATTTTGGAACATTACAAGGCAACGTCCATCTTTCAGATTTTTAACATTTTTTTTCAAGATTGTAGGCTTGAGGCTGGTGGCTGGGTTGCCAATAGGACAGGTCTGCGGGGGTTATTGGTATACTATGGGACAGGGTTTGGTTCCGCATTTTCAGCCCATGGGCAATGGGGTACCCATCCTCAACTGGCAACTTAGTCTTTTTAATAATCTTATTACTTTCAATTTCAATGAATGTAAACAGAAATAGATCTTACCTTGGTAAGAATCTTATCCTCAAAAGACTTGACAGTCTGAAATACTTTGACTGGATCAATTTGCCCAGTAATGATTACACACAAGTTTTCTGGTCGATAGAATTGCTGATGATAGCTGCGAACCTGTTGAATCAAACAACAAAATAAAATCCACACAAACCCTTACTCATGCGTTGGGAAAAATTTAACCCCCACAAATCCCACACCAGATTTTCAACTGTAAAAATGCCCAGAAAGACTCGAGAATGGAAGCAATATAATGCAATGCAGTTGCGGTAAATCATCACAGTTTTTTGAATACCCAAAAGAATCCCTGGTCAAACTATACTGCCCAAGAAATATTAGCTAAGGTTCTTACAAGAAAAAGGCAGAAATCATTAATTTCAATCTCAAAACAATCCTTTGCATGTCCCTATGACCAAGACCCCAGAGTACCCCCCCCCCCCCCCCACCCCCCCCCCCCCCCCCCCCCCCACCCCCCCCCCCCCACAACCCACAACCCCAAACACCACCCACCCCACACACCCAACAAAATAAATTTTCTATTCATCATAATAATATAAACAACTAAATCATCAATTTTTTTTATATTATACAATAAAAAATAAATAAAAAACATCAAAATCCACCCCCCCCCCCCACACACACACACCCCCACATTCAATACTACACATACCTACATACATACAATGTACATGCATACATGAACTTTTTTTTTGCTCAAATTTCAGGGTAACCTAAAAGGCTAATATCTTCTTCATTGTTACATAATAATGAAAACAGGTGCCAAAAGGAAAAATGCTCCAAGTGAGTTAACTTCTGATAAAAAGATAAGATAGACCTTTATTGGGTTAACACTAATTACTGTTAATAACAGTTAGTTTTTATTGTGCCCCAAAAAACTGTCAAATTTTCTTATTAACCTGCCTTTCAATGATTCTGACATTAGACTGAATACCAAAGCTACTTTCTGTTTCCAGAAAGTTTCACCTTTAAAATTGATAATAAACTATTAAGAAATGCATACCTTAGCATGACTACAGGTTGTGCGCAAGTTTTCCATAATTCCCCCAGTCTCTGACTATGAGAAAAGTTGATAAAATTCCTTGTAACCTTTCTGCTGGCATATGTATACAGGTGGGTACTAACACTTTTAAGGAGAAATTAGTGGCTGATTACTATCAATACTAATTATTATTTAATGATGTTACACAAGACTATTAGCAATGAAGACTTTTTGCACAACGTCACAGAATTGCAACATTCCTGTGACATTGTTTCGAATAGTTACAACACTGTTCCAACATTGCAACGCTGTGTTGCGCTAAAAATCGACATTTCGAATTGTCCTGTGTAACATCACCTTAAAGGTCAAGAAAATTTTAAGATTTACTATGGTGTTAGGTTTAATAAAATTACAAACCGCTGTTCGCGAAATAAGCCCAGGTTCCTACACAGAGTGGCAGAAGTCAAGCCTTTTACTGTAACTAAGGTGCTTACAGGGAAAAATTCTCATAATGGCAAGTTATATTAAAAACTGAAACTAAGCCTATTTAGTAAAAACAAGTAGAATTTTAAAAATTTCACTGTTAATTTTCATCTAAATTTAAGGGAAGAAGCTTTGACTCAAGCCAACATAGGGTGTAACAGGTGGAAACTGTTGTTACTAAAGTAACTGTTCTTGAAAAGTTTCATATCACATTGTCCCAAGATATTGTGGGTTACTGCTACGGGTCAAAATTAACTTCAGATTTAAATTCTTAACCTAGGTTGATTCTCAATTCCCTTTGTCTCCCACCCTCATAATAATATTATTATTGAAGAATGGTCGCTTGGAATCAAAGGAAATTAAGAGTCAAGCTACAATCCCGAACAAAACTACTTGAGAATGTTTTTTTGTTGATGGGCACTACCTTACGCAACAAAACTGTTTCCACATCAATGGCTTTGCGTAAAGTAAACCCCTTCCCCCAGTTCAAAGTTGCTTCCTACAAATGCCCAGGGATCAGGCTTTCTTTTAAAGACACAACAACACTGATTCCAGGGGGAGGGGGAGGGAAGAATCACTACAGCTACGATGTCTAGAAAAATGCTCTCAAAGTATGTAATTTTATCAAGTTTTGTCCAAGATTGTAGGTTAAACAATGTTAACCTGAATTTAATTTTGACCTGTAACATGGGCCTATTAGGCTTTTAACACATAAACTGTACCTTATAGCCACAATGTCCAGGATACATTTCCCGAGTAAAGTTCAAGAATGTCAAAGATCTTTCCATATTCTCTCTTCCTTGCATCTCACAATAAACAACACCAGCATCTTCACCCTCTCCATTTACATGGTGAACTTCTGTTATGTATGCAGATTCCTAGAAAGTGAAAGACACTGCCTGTCACCAAGGCAGAAGTTTGGAAGAGCTGGGGGACCGGAGAGCTGGGAGCACTACAAATTAATGCAATATAATGCCTGTGTTGTAAAGTTACGACAAAAAGAAAAAACCTTACTGCTGTATTTCCATGAATAATAGCAAGGGGCGATTATTTCTTTTTTTACACAAAAAGGGGGCGATTGTTATTCGAGGGAAGGCGATCATTCGAGGGAGGCAATTATTTCAAATTAATTAATGCTCACTGGAAGTCATGCCCTAAATATTTTGTTTTATTTTCCCATTAATTAAAAAAATAATCATAACAAATAAACTGAACATGGGCTTTTTAAGTGTTCCAAATTTAGTTCATAGCTGAATCATCACTGATCAGTTTTGCTGGATCACATTGCAATTCATCTTGACAGAGAGGGGATAAAAGGAAGAGAAGATGGCGACGAGATCAAAGGAGTGGCAGGGGGGGGGATTATTCGAGGGAGACAATTAATGGAGAGACGGCTACTATTATTATATTACTTGGGAAATATGGTATATCCATTCAGTGACATTATTTTCCTATCTGCATAAAGATTAGTAATGGTAACAGGACTAAGTGGAGTCCAATTCGGTCTGTAATCATACGAGAGATTAACAAAATCGGACGACAGCATAGCGTCCAGAGTCCAATTTGTTTAATCACAAGTATGATTACAGACCGAATTGGACGACACGAAGTTCTGTTACCAATTAATCATAACTTTAACAAAATTTGTGATATAATAGGCTATTTTTTAAATCAAAACACAAGAAATTCGAAATTTTGTTTTGCTAGCAGTGAAACAAAAAGCCATTTAAGCGCGTGGGTGATGGCGCGTACTGTCCAATTACTAAGGAATGACGCGTACTGTCCTATTAAACTGTCCAATTAAGGCTGAGATCAGGGCAGTTGATACCCAATCAGATTTGACAATTTTGTTATAGTTATGATTAAAAACCAAATTGAAAATTAAACTATGGTACATGTAGGTACAGTGTACGTACACGGGAAACTGCCAACCTACCTCTCCCCTAAGCTAACATTAGCCCATAATTCTCACCTAAGGCAAAATGTTGGCTAAGGGAAGGTGTACAGAGGTGGATCCAGGATTTCTTTTAGGAGGGGGTACACTCGTCTCTTGCTCTACTTCAACACCAATAAACCACATAGTTTTTTTTTGCAGAATACCAGTTGTATTAGAAAACCGCAGGTCATCTCGTGGGGGGGGGGGGGTGCACCCCCTGCACCCTCCCCCTAGATCCACCCCTGGTGTACATGTACGTATATGGGCAGTTTCCCAAAAACATAAATTGATCCAAAGGGTAGAGTGAAAACACATTTTCACTACACTGTGGATTACTGACTTTAAGAGTTGGGTATAAAACATGATCCAGATAGATAGGAAGCAGGTTTAAGAATCCCTCACTGCCTGCAGTTTCCATTGTGTAAGCTGTGTGGTCAGTTGCTGTCCAGGCATTGGTACCCTGTGCCAGGCACCTGTTAGCTAGTAAATCCAAAAGACCCTGCAGTGTCAACAGAAGATGTAATGTACATGTAGTAGAAAAAATATTCAGAAATATAAAATATAAAAGAAACATAAAAGCAAAAGAAGGTAGGGAAGAGATCAGAAAAAAGACAGCAACACATTTATTGTGCTAAGCTGTGGTGATTTTATTAGTTGGAGAGAGAAAACCAGTTACATTAAAACCAATAAAAATAACCGCCTTTAAATTAATGGCTTGCGGACAACTTAGGAAAAATGTAACACACAATTTAAGCAAGGTAAACCATTTTTATATTGAAATCCCTTCATACCTGAAGGTTACAGCTGAAACAGTAGTTTTTTCCCCAAACAAATCCTTACGATTTTAATCTTACAGAACACTGCCGATGTTCATCGACCATATTTCAAGCTTGGGCTATGTATGGTTGAATAAGATATAATCATCAGATGCAAGATACATGTACACGTACATATCAGTTTAATGTTTACTTCTTGCAATATATACAGGTACCTTGTAAGGGTAGTTTTCACTTCCCATGAAGACCAGGTGTTCCAAGGTGTGTGGTAACCCATCATCATCATGAGCCTCAGTGGCTGATGAAAAATTTAAAAGAAAGAGAAGAAATTTTTACATTATAATCTTGTACCCACACAACTGTAATGTCGGCTAAATGAGTAGGCAAAGTTAAAGTCAAGACAATGCAAAGCAGCAATCTTCTGTTTCCATAACATTGTCCGGGGTGGTGGTATAGCTTTATCACAGACAGCAGGTTTTGGAATTTTATTTTAAAGCTAAGCTGTTGGGGTCGGGTGACTTTGCTCATGTTGCTTCATGCTGCACATGATTTTAAATTTTTTAATCTTTGTCTAACCTGCCTGTTAGTACCAATTTTCCAGTGGTTAGCAGTGTAGCAGTAGGGAGCTTGAGCAACAACTACAACAACAGCAATAAGAACACCATAAAAGCAATAGGTTTACACATAGATTAGCAAAAAAAACTTTGCACAAGTATTTTGCTTTTTTGTACATTTCTTTGCAATTGTTGTACAACATTGCCACTATGAAACTGCCTAATATGCCACTTGCACATCTCCCATAATGCACCTTATTTGCCCCCAAATTTTGCACAAGCCCTGTTATTCTCTTGGGACGGCTGTAATACCCAAGAGAAATGAAAACCAAAGCTCAATTTTGGGGGCAAATAAGGTGCATTATGGGAGATGTGCAAGTGGCGTATTTCACATTCTCTGAAGGAGGTGAACACAACACATTTATTTTCTTATTCTTATTTTAAATTTGGATACATTCCTTTAGAAATCAACTCCAGAAAAAAATTCACCAATATTTGACAAGTTGAACGACATGGAAGAAGAGTGATGAATTTCAAAACAGCGAGAATTCATTGTTAAGAGACCTTTTTTGCTACCATCATCCTCATCGTTACTTAAGCTCCCTAGTGCCTGAGTAAATGACTCCCACATGGTTGCTGGTTGTCATAGTTACCAACTGCACTCGGTTAATACAGGCCCGACCCCCGCCTAGAGGGCATATCTACTGTCGAAGAGTTTAACTTTGCAAACAGTTGCACCAGAACATAACAGTACTCACAATAACTTTAAAAAAGAACCGCCACAGTTATTCTCCGACCGCAAATAAAACAGCAGTCCATGCATGTACCAGGTGTTTTAAGAATGTCTCACATGAAAGCTTACAGAATGGCCATTGATCTGATACGTACGTGCCGTGATTTATTAAGAGATCACTTACCAAGGCAAAGAAACCCATTTACGAGTGGACCAGGCACTTCGGCAAAGCAAAAATTAATGCCTGTTCTCTTAGATCGGTATTTCTTGACGGGGATGGAGTCTAAAACCACGAAGGAAGACAATAATTCAAAATGTTCCGCCATCTTTAGAGATGACAAGGAATGCAGAGAGAGGGGCTGGGTCGGGGCTGGGTCCAAGAGCCCACTTGCTTCCAGCGGTTTTTCCTTATTAGCACATGCACACTAACGATGACTCCACAAAAGTTTTCAACATGGCGGCTATCGGCGGCGCTGTCACTCCTGAACATTGTGGTGGATTTTCGTTTGAAAACTGCAAAAGGTAAGCGTAAAAGATAACGACAGTGTTCAGATTGTGACGTTTCATCAATTGAGACCTTCTGATTGCGTTGCAGAAATGCAATATTGGAAAAAATGGGCGCTAAGTTGCCCACAGCGAGGAAAACCGGCACAACCATTTGTGGAGTTGTATTCAAGGTCAGATCTTACTTAAACGCAATCGACAAAGTTCCTTTTTTTTGGCAACGCGTAAGACTATTTCTTAAATTGATGAATACACTTCAGTGTTGAAACTTCGTCTAGTATTCTTGGTTTGCAACCACGTGACAAGGCGCCCATTTTGGGCTTCAATACAATAGAATTTTTTCTTGAACAATTTACATGAAAATGGAGTTTAGTTCTCAGAGGAGAGAAATGCTTTTGTTCTTTACCACCAACATGGCCACTGTGACGTCACATGCAATCCAGCAATTTGATAAATTTCGTAACTAATTCAAAATCTTTTCACCTTGTGATTTTGTTGTACAGTAGAACCCTGATAACTCGAACTCAGATGACTCGAACTCTTCGCTAACTCAAATGTTAGCTCAGTCCAATTTCCTTTGGACTTCACCCCACTTTTCAGTCATTTTCCTCGGATAACTGGAACTCCCCACTAACTCGAACATGATCGTGATTTTGTTGTACAGTCGAACCCTGATAACTCAAACTTCCCAGCTAACTCGAACTAAGTCCAATTTCCCTGGATTACACCCCACTTTTCAGTCACTTTTACTTGCTTGGTTAACTCGAACTCAGATAACTCGAACTGTATTTTATTTCCCTTTATAGTTCAAGTTATTGGGGTTCTACTGTACTTGTCGTGCGCCCCCCCCCCTCCCCTCCCCCAAATGCAATGGATGAGAATTCCTGAGGGGGCTTTAAAAGTCATTTCTGATGGTTTGGCTGTGTTGGTACCTTTGATGTTTGGAATATTTCTGAGGGGTATGAGAAAAAATGGGCTCTTTTTGAGGGGGAACTGTGTCAGTACTTTTGTTTTTTTTTTTCTTAGGGGTATAGTCAACTTACCTCATTATTTTGTAGAAGGGTGTGGCTATTAAATGGAATGGCCTGGAGTCGTGGTCTTTACCTATGTGGCATTTAAACTATGCCTTATTGAGTTGTATGTCAAGATGAAGTATCTATTAAAATTCTACTGTGGTTCACTTTTACATTGTTGATTTTTTCATAGGATGGCATTGTTTTAGGAGCTGATACCAGGGCAACAGAGGTAGATGGTAGACCATTTTGGCTTTCTTGATCAAAACATCTCACTTTGTCTGAATTCCTGTGATAAACTGACTTTACTAATTTTAATGTGTTATAGGATACCATTGTTGCCGACAAAAATTGCTCCAAGATACACTACATTGCTCCAAATATCTAGTAAGTATGGAGTATGAACATTATTGTTGACTGAAATGTTGTTTTACTTTATGTATTATTGATCAAGCTTAGTAAGTTAAGGTGGCTGGATATTTGCCAAGTAGTTTTTTTTGTGTGTTTTATGGACCAAGAGGAAGTCATTGTGCAAAAAACAACAAACTCACACACAGAAAAAACAAGGGCCAAATATCCAGCCATTTTGACCAAATAGAGCTGTAGGCTTGGGAAATAAAGGATTTGTCATATGGCCTGAACCAAATATTTCCTTGGGGGATAAAGCCGGGGATCCCTACCCAACTGGGCCTATACAGGTAGCCAGTCAGAAAATAAAGGAGTCATTGCGTCTTGCTTTCTTGCAGAGCCAGCTAAAAAAGGTTAACATTCAATACAGAATGTAGATAGAAATTTAAAATGGTTTAGCTTCTAAGGCTACTTCTGCATGCCAAACTCAATAATTATAATAACTTATTGTATTGGCTTCAACATTAGCCTGAGATCAGGCTCTTTTTTCTTTATCTTTTTAAATAAAAAATTGGGCCTGATCTCAGGTTAGTTCAAAAGAAGCACAACATTAATGTAGAAGTTGTTCCAGAGTCTAATTTAATTGTGAATGTATTTTCAAGTCAGGGGTAAAGGAATTAAACAAATATAACTTTTCAAAAACACATTTTGGAAATTTATGAATTAGTTTGACACAGCATAAGCATGATTTTTGAATCACTGCCATGCCAGAGTTGAGTAGCATGGTAAAGGGTTTTTGAAATTTGTTGCTCTGCCAGACCAAATTCAAAACTTTTGATTTGATTATAATCCAGGAATTAAGTTAGGCATAGCAGAAGCATGACATAAATGTATGAACAGGTCCTAAGTTTTAGCCCGAAAAAAAATTATGGTGAATTAATTAAATAAAATAACCAATCAATATGGCATTTTATTTCAGTTGTTGTGGGGCAGGCACTGCTGCAGATACTGAATATGTCACACAACTCATCTCTTCCCACATAAAACTACACAGCCTATCAACGGGACGTCAGGTAATAAGTGAAGCGGTTAAAGGAGCTGTGTCACGAAAAAAAAAATTCCAACATTTCAACAGTAGTAACCACCACCAAACTGAGTGAAACACAAAAATAACTGCTCAGAACATGGAAAGAAAATGATTATAAGTAACACAGCAAATACAAAAGGAGGAACAGATGGATAAACTTGAAGAAGATTGAAACAGATTGAGTTGTGCTTTTTGAAAACTTGTTAGCCTAACAGTTTTTCAAAGTTCATTTTTGTTTTTGTTATGTTTGATATTATGCTTAGGAGGTATATTTGTTTGACTTGAAGCCATGATTTTGCCGTTTACAATTAATTTCTCAAGTTCTGTTGCGAGGAAGGATCCGCAATTGGCATTGTTAACAAAATGAACTAGACAAACGTGACAAAGCCCCTTTAATAATAATAGGAAGCTTAAGCAACGACGACGATGATGGCGACAAGAGTGGCAGAAAAGCAACAGGTTCATATTAAGCAAAACAACAACTTTGCACGACTACAATTTGAAAGTGCATAATTTCACGTTTTGTCAAGGACGGGAACACAAGATAAGAACTTTGTTTTTCTTGTCTTGAACTTTCATACAGTCCTTTAGAATTAAACTCCAAAAAATTTGCTAACAGTTGACGAATTAAACAAGATGGAATAACTGTGATAAAGTTTGAGGCAACGTAAATTCACTTTTTAAGTGATGTTTTTATAGCCATCGCCGTCATTGTTGCTTAAGCTCCCTAATGATAATTTCAGGTGCAGCCTGTAAATTTTGATCAATCTGTTCTTTTAGCATTGTGTTATGGTACCCATAAGCAATCAATTTGCAAGTTTGCATATCTTGTACTGTACTTGTATCTTACATTCATTGTATTTTCAGGCTAGAATTGTCACTGCATTACGAATGTTAAAACAGCTGTTATTCAGGTAACAATATTATAAACATCATGGTCTAGAGCTACAATTAGTAGAATTACCTCTTTAGTACCTACAGTGTATATTGCTGGGAGAAATAATGTTTTGGTAATGGATGTGTGTGGCAAAAGGCATCATAAGTAAGGTAGCAAAATTAATGTAAATCAATGTACCGTACACTGAAACAAAGAAATTCAAATTTCAAAAAAGAATTCCAAAAAAAGTAAATTCACCCTTATCACCTAAATAGAAATGCTAGTAGTTTTGGGCAACTGGAGAAACGCGCAATATGTTCTCATCTCTAGGTTGCTTGCATGGTACGTATGTAGCCAGCATCCATTTGGACTTCCATTAACAGTAAATGCTTAGAACACAGTCTGATCACATGCATTTGGACCTTCTATCACTCGAATTGTGATAAGGCACATTTTGACCCTCTGTCACTTGAAAATTACACAAAGCACAGCATTTGAGCAAGAGCATTTGGACCTTCAATCTCTTGCGCGTGCACTCTCTCTCCTTTGGTTATTACATTGTACTAGTATAAAAGATTATAAATATATCTTGATATTTATGAACTGTGCATAGTTGACTTAGCACAATTTCTTTTGTAGATATCAAGGATACATAAGTGCTGCTCTTGTCCTGGGTGGTGTGGACTTGAATGGTCCAACACTACACACCGTCTACCCACATGGTAGTACCGACAGTCTGCCATATGTTACTATGGGTAAGTTGATACAGTCAAACCTCCCATAAGCAACCACTGAAAATGTGAAGATCAGGTGGTCTTCTACTAGACGTGGTTGCTTATAAGATTCTAACAACAATGCGTCTCCTCTAGGAAGAGGTTCTGACATATGTATATGTGTTTTTTTTCTTTTGGAAGAGAATTTATTGCATGCAATTTGTTAGTTACAATGATATTTTGTCTACTTAGGTTCCATGTTATCATTGAAAGGTCTTCAGATACTGTGGGGTAGCACGTAAACCAAACAAAGAGATTAGCTCAAGGGTCAAGTGGTCGCTTATCATCATCATCATCATTATTTTTTATATTTTTTTGTTGTTATTAATTTGTTTTAGGTTCTGGCTCGTTAGCTGCAATGTCAGTGTTTGAATCAAGATATAAACCAGGCATGGAGGTGATTAAAAAATAAGTGGGTCAAATAAAAAATCTCCAATTCCAAACAAAAGTCAGTGAATACTTTGGGCTGGGAGTCTTTTCTGGACTTTTATGTGATGGAAAAACAAAACATTCACAAAACCAGAAACCAAAAGTTTCCACAGTTTCTTAAATTCCTTATGGTATATTAATAATAATAATGATAATTAATAATAATGATAACAATAACACTAATAACAATTTTATACAATGCAACATGTTCTAAAAGCTCATGGCACTTTACAATAGTAGAAATACCAAGATTACTATTTTGTGACAGTTTGAACAAAAAATATTAAAAGGTAATTTTTTTGTTCAAATTCAAATCCTAAATGAAGGTTGAAGATGCTAAAAGGCTGGTACGTGATGCAATTGCTGCAGGAATATTTAATGACTTGGTAAGTGAGTCGCTTGTTGTTAACTGAATGATTTCAGCTCTGTCAAACTGAGCCAGCTGCCAGCAATTTAATT